GGAAGGGGAAAAACTCATAGTAGCAGGCCTATGTTTGGAAGAGAAAGTCCTAGCCTGGTTCCAATGGGGGGAGGCGAGGTATCCGATCTACTCATTGGGAGAATTTAAGGAGTGCTTGTTGGAACGTTTTTGAGCCATTCGGGAAGGAAACCTCCATGAGCAGTTTTATGCCCTAACTAAGGAGGTGACAGTTATGAAGTACCGAGAAAAGTTTGAGCTGTTGTCAGGGAGATTAAGGAGAATCACCGAGGAAGGATTGGAGGGGAATTTCATAAAGGGGTTTAGGAAGGATATACGGGCAGAGCTCAAGGTACTGAGGCCTAAAAGACTGAGAGAGACAATGAAGCTAGCACAAAGCGTGGAGGAGAAAAATCAAAGGGAGAAGGCTAGCCGGAGCAACCCCATGGGAGGGGCTTACAGGAACACCTCTACTACCTTGGTACCGATAACCCAGACAATGTCACTTCAAAGGAAAGCACCGAAGGAGAAGAGCACTAGAGTTCGTCCTGAAGGCAATTTCAAATGCCTCAAATAAGCAAAAGTGTAGGATCGGCGGGCAAAAGGGTTATGCTTCATGGGTGATGAGAGATTTACACACGGGCATAGTTGCAAGAATCAAGCCCTTCAGGTCTTAATGGTCTGTGAGGGGGGAAGAGGAGAATGGGGAAAAGTTGGAGGTATTAGAGGAGACAGAGCAGTTGCAATTGGATGTGGCAGAGGTGTCCTTGAACTCTGCGGTGGGATTGACTCCAAATCACACCATGAAAGTAAGGGGCAAATTGAAGAGCAATCTGCGACAATTCTGGTGGATAGCGGAGCAACACATAACTTCATCTCAAATTGGGTGATGGACCGATTGAGGTTGAAGTTAGTAAGAACGGAAGGATGTGGGTTGATGATGGGCACATGCAAGATAAAGAGAAGAAGGGAGATATGTAAAGGGGTGGTAATTGCCTTGCAAGGTATTCAGGTGGTGGAATATTTCCTTCCCTTGGACTTGAAAAGTACGAATGTGATTCTAGGGATGAATTGGCTACATACTATGGGTAATATGAAGGTGAATTGGAAGTCCCTGACCATGGAGATACAAGTGGAGGGGAAAAAGGTAGTGCTTCAAGGGGATGTCAGCCTATGCAAGACCATGGTCTCTTTAAAAACCATGCTCGGGACAATCCAAGATGCAGGCCTGGGATATTTGGTAGAGTTGCAAAGCATAAAAGGGTCCAGGAACAAGAGGCCAGGGATATTCCAGTAAGGAACCAGCAAGTTCTGCAACAATATCATAATGTATTTCAGGTACCAGTTGGGTTACCACCATCTCGACAGCCCGAGCATGCCACCAACTTGAAATAAGGGATTACTCCCATCAGTGTTAGACCATATCGTTACCCCCAGATCCAGAAGAATGAGATAGAGAGGTTGTTTAGGTAGATGATGGACTCAGGAACCATCATACCGAGTGTAAGTTCTTTCTCTAGCCCGCTACTGTTGGTGAAGAAAAAAGATGGCAGCTGGAGGTTCTGTGTAGATTATAGGGCTCTAACAAGAAAATAGTGCTAGATAAGTTTCCAATCCCCATGATAAATGAACTTTTGGATGAGTTATATGGAGCTGTGATATTTTCCAAAATTGATTTGAAGTCGGGATACCACAAATCAGGATGAAGACAGCAAATGTGCACAAGACGGCCTTTAAGACACATGAAAGGTACTACGAGTTCATGGTGATGCCTTTCGGCCTCACCAACACCCCTGCCACCTTCCAACCACTTATAAATCGAGTGTTCCAACTATACCTCTGAAGGTTTGTCCTAGTAGTTTTTTATAACAATTTCATATACAGCAAGACCGAGGAAGAACACCGGGAACACTTAAAGACTGTCATGAAAACATTGAGGGAGCATCAGTTGTTTGCCAACTGAAAGAAATGCAAATTTGTGCAATCACAAGTGGAGTATTTAGGGTATGTGGTGTCCATAAAGGGGGTGTTAGCACACCAGTCCAAGATTCAGACCATGGTGGATTGACCTCTTCCTAAGAACTTGAGGGAGCTGTAAGGATTCTTAGGGCTCACCAGCTACTATCGAAAGTTTGTGAATGGATATGGTACCATATCAAGGACCTTTAACAAAGCAATTAAAAAAGGATAATTTCAAGTGGGGGGAGGAGGCAACACTAGCCTTCCAGGAGTTAAAGACCGCGATAACCAGTGTACTTGGGCTGGCGCTACCAGATTTCAGGAGACCATTTATGCTGGAGACGAATGCATCTGGTTATGTACTAGGAGTAATACTCATGCAAGATCAGAGACCTGTTGCATACTTCAGCTAGGTGCTTACAATTAGGGAAAAGCTCAAGTTTGTGTATGAGCAAGAGTTGATGGTGATCGTCTTGGCTATTCATAAGTGGCGGTCCTATCAGATGGGGAGACACTTCATAGTCAGGACAGATCAGAGGAGCTTGAAATTTTTGTTGGAACAATGGATGGTCAGGGAGGAGCATTAGAGATGGATATCCAAGTTACTGGGAAATGATTTTGAGATTTAATATCGGTCAGGGCTATAAAATAAAGCAGCAAACGCCTTATCCAGAAGAGTCGAGGGACCTCGGTTGGCGGTCTTGTCAGTACCATTGCTGGTAGATTGGGAGGCATTAAAACATGAGAATAAGCAGGATGAAGAGTTGAGGAAGATAAGGGAGGAGCTATTGAAGGATCTCGATAATCACCTAAGCTATGTTCTGAAAGTACAATTATTATACCATGAGAAGTTTGTGTTATCCCAGACCTCAGGGTATATTCCCAAACTACTGCAAGAGTCCCATGGCAATGTGATAGGAGGGCACTCAAGAGTTCAGAAGACATATAATCAACAATCAACGGAGTTATATTCGATAGGGATGCGTCGCGATGTTGAGAGATGGGTAGCCAAAGGCATAACTACTTAGCCATGACGCCAGCAGAATTACTACAACCAATAGCACTACTGAAGAGGGTATGGGAGGAAGTGACGATAGATTTCATTGAAGTGTTACCACTATCGAAAGAGTTTCCAGTGATCTTTGTATTAGTTGACCATCTAAGCAAGTATGCACATTTCATTCCTCTAAAGCACATTTACACCGCATTCACAATAACTATTATTTTCATTCAAGAAGTGATATGTTTGCATAGGTTCCCAAAAGCCATTGTGTCAAACAGAGATAATGTGTTCCTTAGCCATTTTTAAGAGGAGCTATTTTGTTTATAAGGAACGGTGTTGAAGCGAAGTACAGCCTAACACCCTCAGACATATGGTCAAACAGAAGTGGTCAACAAGAGTGTAGACACCTACTTGAGATGCTTTGTATCAGACAAACCGAAGAGTTGGGCTAGGTGGATTGCATGTGTGGAATATTGGTACAACACCTCGTACCATTCAGCAGCAAAGACCACTCCATTTCGGATTCTATATGGGAGAGACCCACCTCACTTGATTCATTATAGGGCAACACTACACCAGTGTCTAGTGTAAAACAGTACTTAGAAGAGAGAGACAGGATACCATATGAATTGAAAGGGCATTTACTGAGAGCACAACAGATCATGAAGAGGAAGGCGGAGGAGCATAGGAGGGAGGTAAATTATGAACCAAAGAATATGGTTTACTTAAAGTTGAGGCCCTGCAGGCAAAAAACATTAGCCAAGAGAAGGAATGAAAAACTATCCCCACGATATTTTGAGCCTTATGAGATCTTGGAACTCATCGAAGTTGTAGCCCATCGACTAAAGCTACCATCATCCTCAACTTTGCACCTAGTCTTTTATGTATCACAGCTGAGGAAGGTGATAGGAGAACATACACCATCATCGCTACCCCCAACCTTGACAGAGGATATGGAAGTTATGTTAGAACCCATGAAAAAAGTATTTGTACGAAAGGGGAAGATAGGGACACAGGAAGTGCTAATCAAGTGGAAGGACCTACCAGAGCATGATGCCACTTGTGAGTCATATAAGACAATTAGAAGACAGTTCCCAACCTTCCACTTTAAGGACAAGGTAGATTTTTTGTTGTAGTTTATTTTGTAAGGGCTTCCTACCAGTGTCTAGGTTGATTGGGAGAGATGATTAACTCTCTTATTGCATATCACTTGTATTTTTTATTTCTTGTTGAGTTATTAATAGAAATCATCCACTATTTCCTTCAAATTCTGCTGTTTTTTACTGTTTTACGTGGATTTCCTGCTGCGATCTGCTGAAATTGACCCCAAGGCGTCTCAACATGATGAATTATTTTGATAAATTGTATATTTCATTATTTAAACATCAATTCAAACTTAGATTCAGGTCATATAAAGATTAAACGTTATAATTAATTCTCTAAGAAACTAATTATTTCAATTAAAATATTATTAATAATCATAATTCCATGTTCATGGATGAACTTGTTCAATTAATCAAATCATACAATCAAAGACCAAATCCCCACGCAAGTCACCTAGTTTAAACCACAGGTCTTATTCAGCTAGATTGGCTCAAACAAGCATTCCTAAGCCACAATATTTCAAGTTTAAACAATAGTTACAAAGATGTGCAATTTCAAAGTCCATTTTTTTTTCTATATTTCTTTCATAACGAGGATGCATAAACAACTGACTATTAAACATAACGCCATGAACTAGTTCTTGAGCAAGTTGCTAACAGGGCTTTTCATAAACTTCGTATAAAATATCTAAATGTTCATCAATATTATCTAAAAGTTAACGGAACCAATTTTACAAATAAACACAATTTAAGAAAAAGAGGATGATTTCATATAAGTCAGCTCATTCAGGTCAGACTTAGAAGTGCAACAAAGCAGCCCGCCCCTAAAGTACGGATTACATTAGTAAATAAATTCAAGTCAGACTTGGAAGTGGAATAAGGCAATCCAACAAAGAGTAGTCAGCTGCATGTCTGACGCAAAATATAATATAACACAGAAAGCAGATATACAAGGAAACAAAGGATCGTTTGAGTACCCTGCATGTGTATTGTGCATTCGAGCAAATAGTTCCAGCTTTCTTGTCCTTGGGCTGATTCTCTCCAGCATCGGATACATCTGCATGTAAAAGAACGATCACATGCAAATCCAGTCAACTTGTTATCAATTCAGGGGATAAAGAAAACTTTGCATTTACTGATGCATATGGAATGCCAATTGGTTTACAGAACAAATAAAAACTTCAAAAAGACAGTAACAAAATGCAAATGCAGAGCACTTGGTGATTCATTGTGCTGTTGTTGACTCTTTAACTAAAGAGACTTTAGGTTCCATGTTTGTTAGTGTCCAGAGCACTCTACTGTGATTAAATATTGCTCTGACAAAACAAACAAACAGATTCAATGGACAGATGAGAGCTATCATGTCTATGAAACAAATTATGAAATGCATAATCAACCTAGAACATTTTGGTTAATATAAGCAATCATGTTGAAGAGCAGAACGGAAGTATCACATTTACTGCTCTTTATGGTGCCTCAATGCCCACAATCCCTGTGAAGCGAGCACTTATCTGTATGTGCTCATGATACTACAACGCAAGCATACTCATATATCACTTAAGCTGATGAGAAAATAGGGTGCTGAGAGAACAATAATATAAAATGAAACAAAATTGAAAATAAATTCCTAAACAAATAATGACGCATATACAATTTGAACAATAAGTTGAGTTCTGAAAAAAGTTAGCTTGGATTTCATCCTACAAGGGAACTAAAAAACATCAAGATGGAAAGGTATAAAAATGAAAGGAAGAAACAAATAATGGAGCAGCACAAGACTAAATATTTTTATTTATGAGATTATAAAAAGTAAATTGCAAATGTCAACAAGAACTCTTAGTCTAAGGTCTAGTGTTCCCAATGCAGTTCTAACATGCAATAGAGGAAGCCAATCAATTCAACAAAAGCGCGCTTTTTATGAGAAGTCATTAATATTAAAAAAACTATTTACTATCTATGAAAACCAAAAATGATAAAACCCGTTCCATCCACAAAGGGTTTTGATCTTCCATTTTAACATAAAGAAAACTAAGGTTTATGAAGCCATGCACGATTGAAATCTGATGGAGAAATAATAGAAAATCCAACTGTAACAAATTAAACAAAATTCATCATGTTCTCAACCAAGGACGAAGAAAAATGATTAAGAAGAAAGATGTAGATAAAGGAAGAAATGGGGAGAGTTAAAAAGCAAGATTCATGCCTGTATGAGGAGATAGCTTCTCCTAAAATTTCAAGTATTTCACTTAGATCAAGAAATTGGGTCTCATAATGAGAAGAATTTGCATTTCAAAAGAAATTTTTTATTAGTCACAAATATTTTTATATGCATCAAATACACCTCTTTATAAACATCATGGAATGACAAATAAGCTAAGAAGAAAAGTAGTGACCACCAGGATGATAGTAAAAGAATATGACGGACAAGAAAGCCAAACGCATGAGGAAAAATGAAGAATGTTAGTCCCAAGAAAACAGTTGAAAGGAAGGAAACCAATGAAATATAAAATTAAAAAGCCACAGTAAAAAAAAGCCCACAAGAATAAATAATTGCATGAACCGAAATAGAGCAAGAAAATACATGAGTCACAACAACAACAAGACCTTGAATCCTTTTTCTCCATTGTGTCCAATTAAGAGTCAAATTCTCATCTAAATCTAATAAAGAAACATCATTTCTAATATTTTCTAACCAAGACTTTATAGGTCTGCCTCTACTTTTCTTAACATAATTCAAATCTAATACATCTACTTTCCTAACCGGGACATCAGAAGGCCGCCGTTTTATGTGACCAAACCATCTAAGGCAACTCTCTCTAATCTTATCTTTCATAGGAGCTACTCGAATCTTTTCACGTATATGCCCATTTCGTATCATATCTCTATAAGTCACTCATCCAGTTGAGCATCCTCATCTCTCCAACACTTAACTTAATATTATGCTTCGAGAGAGCCAAAACAGTCGTAAAAAATACATAGAGCGAGGAGCTGCAGCAAAGAGAGCGTGCAAAGAGCCACTTCTGCCTCATATCTCCGAACACAAGATAGAATAATTCATTCTTTGAATAGGATAGGCACGGCTAAAATAGGACTAGGAATATAGGAGCCAGTAATTTTGAATCGGTGGTAATCACTGCATCACTTATGATGGGGAAACATGATATATGATGACTAGTAAATCTAAGATAAGAGACGAAACAAATGATTTAGATCCATACTACATGCATTGAAGTAGCTAGTCTCCAACAAATATAACTAGATTTATTTATGGCATAAAGTAAAGCATGAGAGAACATCCTAGCTTTACATCAGAAACAAGAAGTACCTTAGAATCATCAGATAGATATTCATTCATCGTGTTCCTATTAAGCACTTCATATATGGGAAAACAATAAACTTTATGGAGAATTATTGCTAAACATTGAGTATTACCGTGGTTTTTTAGGAGTTATTGCAAAATTAACTAGGTTAACTCTCATAATAAATATTTGTGTGCTGATACTCTTTATCACCAGTATTGAAATTGTCCAACTATTCATTGTTATCTTTACTAATCTTCCTGAAACATGCCAAAAGATTAAAAGAGGTTGCGTATTGATCTAATGCTCCTTTTCAGTATTAGAAATGATTCCTTCCATGTCAAAAGTTCAAAGGTAAGTTGAAAAACGGCACCCACAAGACTATCAAAACTGCATCACTGAATATGACAAAATGAAGAAATTAATTGCATGTAAATGTAAGATATAGCTTATGTTTGAAAATTGTGAGCCAAGCAATTGGCATAGATTTAGACAATCTGTTCACAAAGAGATATCCAACCAAAGAAAGTTAGTTGATTATTTCATGATATAAAAGAATTCATTTGTAAAAAGATAAATATGAGATCCAAACAGAAGCATTAAATTAGGCAGTTACATATACATTTGTACATAGAGAATATATGAGTCAAAAGTACGGATTTGCCTCCCAGACAAGCAGATTCAGACAAACTACTCACAATCTCCGTAGAGAAGCTCTTGTAATATAACATTAAAAAGTCAAGTATCAAATTACTCTTTACAGATGCAAAAGTTTTAAAGTAAAGCAGATCATCTACCAACCTCGTCAGGTTTTCTACTTGTTTCACGTACTTCAGCAACAATGACATCTGTATCAATGTTGCGATTCACCTCAGGGTTCCCCTTTATTCCAACAAGACAATGCTCTTTACTATGATTGAGCCAATGTCCTGTTCGTCCTGTCCTAATGATCCGTTGTAGTTGATTGGTTTTCACCCAAATTATCTCTTCTACACGCTTGTATCCCCAAAGTTCCAAACTGGCAAAGGATGTAACATACAATAGTCAATACTAAATAGCCAAAACTCAAGTAATCTGACAAAAATGTTGAATATTAAAGCACATATGTTGTTATCAACGCAAGATTAACATGAGATCCATAGAGAAGCAGTAAATTAGGTTAACATGTGCTTATAATTTGCAATCAAAATACATAATAAACAAAAATGGGCGAACATGTGCTTATAATTAAACATTTTATTGGGTTGTTCCTATAGAACTCCACGAAATCTGCCCTCTTTATAAAGGACAATAGTTTAAAAAGTTTACAAGCAAAGACAATAGCTTCCCTTATTTGTAGACAAGAACTAATCATAGCTTTATTTAAGGTTCAAGAACCCCGACAATACTACTAAAGTTTGCTATAAAACGCTGCAGTATTACTAGAGAATACCAGAAACCTAGTACAATGCATGACAGGGTGTCATAAAAAGTCTAGTATTATTATTAGGACTTCTAAAAATCCTGGCAAAAGGTCATATTTAGTAGTCTTATTTACAAAACAGAGTAAAATATTGTCCTTGTTTGCAAAGTTTTTAAAGGATTGTCCTTTTTCATCAAAAGGACAAATTATAATGAGTTTACATAAATGCAATATTTCATTACATTACATTTTTAATTTTCTAACAATATGTTTATTTAACTTCGAGTGACCAAGCACCTTGGTCACTCGAATAAGCTAAAAGTTGAACAACAATACGGTGACAACATTGCCTAACCCGGCAATTTCCAGACAATTGTTCCCCGATAGTCAAATGATACAAGGCATAAATTTCGAAATTCCAATTCAATATGACTACCACACAAAAGGCTCATCAATCCTTGTGAAAATCTCTCAAGCATATGATACGGAAAACAAAGTGAATGACTTTCACTGACTGTAACAGCATTAAAAATCTAGCTTGTCAAAAAGTATATTCCAAAGTTTTAGCATGTAAGGATGAGTCTATACCACTCCCTCCCAAGCTCCATAGCACGACCTGTGACCCAAAGGAAAATAAGACCATCCGTCTGCAATGCAGGAACATTTAAGTTCCTCATTTCATCATCAGCCATGGTTCCATATGGCAATTCCATGTGAATATCCCATGGTGGGTCAGCCATGATGACTCCAAACTGCCCTAAAATGTCCATTCTATAATTACGTATGTCACAATTAATCCATTGAGGTTCACCAAGCTCAACTTCTGAACAGTATTCAGCTCGCTGAGTCTTCATCGGTCTTGGGGGAGGAAGATTAGAATTTCCCATCATCATTGGAGGCATATCCGGGGTTTGGTCAAGTTCATAATGAACATATTTACAAGTCTGCACCAAACAAGCATAATACAAGCTTCAACCAAGTAAAATGGCGTTGAACAACTTGAACATGAGCTATACCAAAAAAAAATAGCGTGCACATACATTGCATACATGCAATGAAGCAAACCTTGGTATGACGGCATGTGTCAAGAAAAGAGCAATCCCCTAAATTTGTATCAGTATGTGGAGCTATAATGCGCCGGAAGTGAACCTGCAGAAGGGAAAAAAAGAAATTAAAACATAATTCTTTATGACAATTTTAAGAAAAGATACTCCAATTAGATCTCCAAATGCTCAAGCAAATATGACAGCCAGAAAACAATGCAAACATTTGAAGTTAAACAGAATTTGTTAAAGAAAATACAAAAAGACAAAGCAAAGTGACTACCATGTTAACAAAATATATTAAAAGGCAACCTCATAAAAATCCTATTACCGACAGGCACCTTAAAATACTATTACCCAACAACAGCACCTTCAAAAGACAATACATGGCACCAAAATCCCATGACAACAACAGCAAACACAACAGAAACTTTGGTTTAAATGTTGAATGCAATTTTTTAAGTCATGGACCCCATATTTCACCGTTCCACCATCACCAAATCAGCAAGGTAGATAACACGGAAGCACAAAAATTTTGATCAAACCTGAAGAATTTAATAATGAATCCTAGAAACAATAATTCATTACACAGCCTGTTAGCATTAGCATATTATTTTAGAAATGTTTTCAATTTTCTAGTTAATAAACTTTGTTTACTTTGTTGTCAATCAAGATATTGTATTTAATTCCGTATTATAAATCAGGAGTCATCCTACTTAACAATACACAGAAAATCTCTTTGCCCTCAGCCCTCAATATGTAATTGAGCCAACTTAACTTAAAGCTAACCACTTCACCCTCCACCTCACAAGGTAAAGCAGTTTCATTGTCTCAAAGAAAATGTCACCAACTTTCTTGCATAAGTAGTATTTTAAGTTGCAAACCTGCCAACATTAACATTTACATGTAGATAGATGCTAATAAGAGGATTTTTTTAATGCTTTTCATTATCACAAGTTAGTAGGTAAATTGATCTTACTATCACAGGATCAGATTCCTGCTTTGTTTTAGTTGTGAGTCAACACGTGCAAACCCCAAAAATAGAAATATTGGGAAGCTATTCTAAATATCCTTAAGTATGTCAAGAAGTCGATAAAGAAAAAACTATCATACACTAAGAGTGATTAAACCTAATGTGGAAGCTTTTTATGAAGTCGGCCATGTTGGATCAATTGATAATAGAGAATTCACGGTTTGGCATTGCATATTTGTGGAAAGTAAATATGTTAATAAAAGATTAAGAAACAAACAATGGTAGCCAAATAGAAAATTGAGACATAATATAGAATCGCCACACACTCTATATGTAAAATGACATAATTTAAGACCCTCCAACGGAAATTTGAGTTTTCAAATGCACAATCTAGGATCTTAAACTGTGACAATTGTGTTGCTATCTACATTACCAATTATCTTCTATTCCATGAAAGAACCAAACACAATGAGATTGATTCTCTTTATTCGAGCTATGCTATCAAAGTAGATTATTACTCGGTTCCCATCTTATAACAACTAGCAGATACATATATCAATCAGACTTTTTGCTAAACAAAATAATCCTCTATATTTGTCTTTAGGATCTTCACTTAGTCAGCCTCTAGGAGAGTTTAGAATATCACCATTAGAGCATACCCTTAGTCCACCAACACCTAAGTTTAGTTGGCTCCCCCTTCTAAACATAGCTCAGCCCACTTAGGGGGTTATATGGATCTAAAGAGCTTTTTAGGCTCGTCTTAGTTGATCGATTTCCAACCGATTAGTAATCGACAAATATCATGTTGGTGGCACCTACTTGGTCAATCAGTACCCTTCCTAGCTGTCTCTTGGCGTCAAGTTGCACTGCCTAGACACATTAGGTAAGGGTCATTACTCCCCTCTGGGCACCACATCCTTGGCATGTTAGTGCCTTCTAAGCTCAATCGGTGTCGACCCGTAGTTCCCAACACCCTCTAGACCTAGTAGACAATGACTCAATGTCACTCAATGCCCTTTCTACCTAGGCGGCACCCCCTCTCAAGAAACCTGGCATTGTTTTCCTAGCACCAATTCCTCAAGACTGCTGCCCAAGACAACCTATTTAGCTCTTTTACACCTACCTAGCATCCTCGCCTTGGTGTACAATGATGTCTTCATGGAACAATATATGCACTTGCCAATGTCTTCACACCCAATAGCATCCCGCCTTGCTACCCATTGTCATCTTCCTGACATCATCTCTTTCAATCACTATGTGGGATCAATGACTTCCTCCCCAACAGTAACCCCATCATCATGTCTAGCGTCATACCATTCTAGTGGAAAACTATTTAACCACTAATTGTCGGCGACATCCCCACCTTGGCCGCTGACATTATTATCCTAGTATCATATCTTATATCAACATCTAGCCAATATCTTTCTGCTTAACTTGCCTAAAATCCCTTCCTAAAGTCAATGCTTAAGAACTTATATCTTAATAAGAGCCTTACCAAGGCACTTAGGGGCCAAATAGAGATTTATCTATACACGTTATGCCCAAGAAATATACCTTGGGGAAACCACTGCCCATCGTCGGCCATGTCAAACATCTTTTTCTACCAAACCTAGGGCAATAAAAGACACATTTTAGCTCCCCCTCAAGACCGGGTTGGTTGGCAATACTCAAGTTTCGCATTTAGTAAATCTTGGATCAAAACCCATTGCTCTCTCTCACAGTGCCTTCTTGTCCAAAAGCAAAGCCATCAGCTACCTCCCTATTAAGAGTCAATCAGTGACATCCAAGAAGTACTTTAGGAACAAAAGTTGGTGGCCTTTTCTTTATATATCATCCCCTGATGGCAGAAAGGGTCCACCATCACTTAGAATGCCGTTAGGCTTATCTATATGAGATTGCCAAGATCCCTTAAGTACAAAAGAGCATTGTCATCCACCACATAAAAGGTCAAGAGAAGCCCCTTCCCACCACCACCACCTCTCCATTGCCATGCCCAATAAGTTGCAATTTCTACCAAGCAAACACAATAGCAGCTTTAAATCTTTGAACGTAACAAAGTCTTAGCCTCGCCAACCCATCCAATATGTCCCTGATGTGTTTTGGAGGTAGAAAACAACAAAAGAGATAAGAATAAAGTGCAGGAAAACAGATTTAGGAGCTGAATTTGGATTCTTCTTCAAAAGCAATGCAAGATGCAATTGATCTACTATTCGAGAGGTAAATCAGCACTCCCAAAAACCTTAGACGCCACTAAGAAAACCTCAAAGAAAACTACGGCAGCAACGCGTGCATAAATCTGAAATAACCCCATATTTAGCCCTAAATAGGCTTACCTAATTCCCTCCCAAATCAGCATACTTTCCCTAAATAATTCCCTCTCCAATTTGAATTCAATTTGGATATCTTTCCCTAATTAATTATCTCCTAATTTTAATTAAAACCTTCCTTAATATCTCTCCCTATATTTCTCCTCTTTACATATTGAATTACAATTTTCTTGGACCCCACAAGGGGAACCCCCTCCATGTTCCCGCTCAGTTTCTCTGTTGGGTTTGGTTCTTCTAAACAAGGCAGATGGCTCCCGCCTATAGAGATCGTGGTCGTAAAAATACTCACCCCCCCCAGTAGAAGGATGGGAATTGTCTCATATGGCTCCCATGTAGCATCATGCTCCAGCAAATCCTTCCACTTTATTAGCACCTCTAGTGCCCCTATCTCTCCCCGGCGCACTACTTCTACTTCTAGGGGTTCCAAAATGGCCTCCATGTCTTCTGTCAAAGTCGAGGGTAGTGAAAATAGTGTGTGATCTCATATTGCCTTCCCCAGCAATGAGATATGAAAGACTGGGTGGAATGCTAATGAAGATGGTAACCTCAATCGATACGCCACTACTCCAATGCATTCCAAAACCTCATAAAGTCTAAAACATAGTAGGGATAATTACTCATTCCTCCTCCTGGCTAGTGTCTTCTGCCTGTAGAGTCTCAGCTTTAAGTAAATCATATCTCCTGGCTCGAAGTGTCCTTCTCTCCAGCGCTCATCAGCCTTCCTTTTCATGATCTGTTGGGCTCTCAACATATGTCCCTTGAGCTCAGATAATACAATGTCCCTCTCCTCTAAGTACTGATCTACACTTGATTAACTAGTAATATTAAGAATGTTGCAATTTGCAAATGATGTGCTTGGAGTTTCAAAAGAAAAATCTCCTAATAATAAAAATAGTTGGTTGTGGAATCAAATCGTGCAAGAAAAGATAAAAAATAAGAAGCTTTGTTATAATAATTAGTTTATATATAAAAACTCTAAAAATTTGGAAAGATATAAAAAAACTCGTAAGATGTCTAAGAAAGCAATCTGCAATGCAAAGATTTTAGCTTTTAACGTTTTATATAATAGATTAGATTCTAAAGAAGGTGAAAGATATATGTATAAGTTAGCCAAATAAATAAATAGTAGTAGTAAGGATTTTATTCTAAGTGAAGTGTATTAAAGATAAAGATCAAAAAGTGCTTTTTAGAAGAGAATATTCAACAAAAGTGAATGAGATATTTTGCTAAGCTTTTTAATGAAAATTGTGAAAATATGATTGAATTTAATGACATTAGCACTATAAATGAAGATAGAGATTTTTATTTATATAGACGTATTAGTAAAACTGAAGTTATATAGGCTTTAAAAAAATGAAGTATTGAAAAACTAGTGAAACTGATGATATTCTAATAGAGGTGTGAAAATGCTTAAGAGATAAAGGAAATTTCTTGGCTTACTAAACATTTTAATATTATCTTGAAGACTACAAAGATGCCAGATGAGTGGGGAATGAGTACGTTGATTCCTATTTTTAAGAATAAAGGTGATGCACAAGATTGCAAATTATAGAGGAATTAAGTTGATGTGTCATACTTTAAAACTTTGGGAGAGAATTTTGGACCAAAGGTTACAACGTGATACTAATGTTTCTCAAAATCAATTTGGATTCATGTCGAGCAGATCTAATATGGAAGCTATTCATTTATTAAGAGGGTTGATGGAGAAGTTTAGAGAGAATAAGGAGGATCTACATATGATATTTATTGATTTAGAGAAAGCATATGATAAAGTTCCAAGACAAGTGCTATTGAAAATTCTAGAAGAGAAAGGGGTTAATAATGCTTATATTCAAGTCATTAGGGATATATATGTAAGAGCTATTACTTGTGTTCAAACACAAGATGGTTTGAGCAAATATTTTCCTATTTCAGTTGGATTACATCAAGGATCAAGCTTAATCTTACCTTTTTGCTTTAATCATGGATGTTCTTACTAGACATTTGCAAGAGGATGTACCTTGGTGTACGTTTTTTGCTGATGGTATTCTTCTTGTTGATAAAGCTAGAGAGGGAGTTCAAGGTAAACTCATATTATGGAGGTCAACCTTAGAGTCTAAAGGTTTTCGTTTGAGTATATCTAAAACTGAATATATGGAGTGTAATTTTAGAAGTAATAGATCTAGTTGGAGGTTTGTGACTTTGAGCGATCAAGTAATTAATAAGTGTACTCGTTTTAGATATCTTGAATCTATTATTCAGAGTGATAGTGAAATAGAGGGGTATATTATTAGTAGAATTCAACTTGGATGGTTGAAGTGGAGGAATTCGGGCTGCAAACGAAGCAACCGTTTGATGAGCTACTAATTGCTCAGTTCGATTAAAGCTTGTTCGCGATCATTTAATTAATTAAACAAATAAACTTGAAAACTTTTAATACTCGATCCTTAAATAAACAAGCTTGAACAATAATGTGTTCGACTCATTTATGTTCACAAACAACATTATTTAAAGCTCATGAACAAGCGATATTAAGCTTGATAAGAAGCTTTCATTTTATTTATACCTTCAATAGAATGAATTTGTTCATGAACAAGAGAAATTTGTTCATTTTTCCTAGATTGTTTATTTGAAATGTTCATGAACAAATATAAGATGAATCATAGATCGTTTGTTCGTGAACAAGTTCATTTGGTAGTTTGAAAATACTAATTAGATATGTTCATGAACAGGCTCATTTGATAGCTTAAGAATTAAGAATAGCCGTTAGATATGTTTGTGAACGAGCTTGTTTGATGGTTTAAAAAACTTTGCTAGATATGTTCGCAAACATACTCGATGCAATCATTTGTTAGAAGGCTCGATAAGGCTCGTTTGTTAAGTTAATCAACATCTAGAAGTAGCGCTCGATAAGACTCGTTTGTTCAAAGCTCGATATGCATGAAACATACCGAACATGAACCGACATGAACCAAACATGAACACCCATTAATTTAAATGAACCAAGCTTGAACAAAAAAAAAATTAAAAAAAAAAAAAAAACTTGAATCAAGCTCAAACCAAACTTGAACAAGGTGATAATAAACGAACTCAAACATGAACACGCACATACTAAACTCGGTTCGGTTCGTTTGCATCCCTAGGAGGAATGCTTCGAGTTTGTTGTGGGATAGAAAAGTATCACTCAAACTTAAGAGAAATTTTTATAAGATAGTGGTGAGACCTGCAATGCTTTATAGCACAGAATGTTGGCCATCAAAAGGGAGGCATAATATTAAGTTAAGTGTTGTTGAGATGAGGATGCTCACGCGGATGAGTGGATTTACTCTTAGAGACATGATACGAAATGAGCATATCCATGAAAAGGTTGGAGTGGCTCCAATGACATATAAGATTAGAGAGAGTCGCCTAAGATGGTTTGGTCAGGTAAAACGATGGTCTTCCAATGACCCTGTTAGGAGAGTAGATATATTAGATTTGGCATATGTTAAGAAAGGTAGATGTAGACCTAAAAATACTTGGTTATAAAATATTAGAAATGACCTTTCTTTAATAAATTGAAATGAGAATTTGATTTTTAACATGACACAATGGAGAAAAAGGATTAATGTTGTCGACCCCACGTAGTGAGATAAAGGCTTGTTGTTGTTGTTGTGGTGATTCATGCTCTAATCAGCCTTAAAAGACTTGTGAATATTTCAAACTGTGTTTTCCAAAGAGGAAGCAAATAATAATAATAATAATAATAATCTTCACTCCCCCAAGTTTGTAGAAGCAATAATTTGCCTAATGATTTTGATATCCTAGATTTAACAGAAGCTTGATTGATGTGATTGGCAATCTACTCCTCACTTTCTCACTTTCCCTATTATTATATTCAAATATACCTTGTTTCTTTACTTTACATATAATATTTACACCGATTGGTAATAACTTTTCCTAATAAAAAAAAGCTACTATCTATGATATTTGTTTGTTAAAATCCCATGCAAAAGCAATAGTACTACTTCCAACCACTTAACAATTTCTTCTTAATATACTCATGTGTTCATATCCCACAGGAATATACTTGGTTGAATTTCATTTATGTGGAGGTTGCTTGCCTTACTTTTCAGGCGTCCTTGATGTTATTTTAACAGCTTCCAATATGATTTTTGACTGCAATCAACCCCAAAAGCTTGGTATTGTTAATTTTTTCCTTCTCAACTCAAAAAAAAAGTCTGACACTGATTATTTCAGAATTCTCCCAACAAAGACTTTTCTTTTAAAACTTCAATCTTCCTTCATACTCCACAATAGATCTTGATCGTTCCATGGTTGGACCAAATCCAACAACTTCTTCCCTACCACTTAGAGAACTTTCTGTAAAACTTTAATCTTACTTCCTATGCCTCAATAAATCTTGATGACTCAATGGTTTCAATCCAACCACCCTCTTCCCTATCACTGAGAGAGAGAGAGGGAGAGAGACAAGATCAATCATTCACTGTAGAATTATGGTTCGGAGCAGAGAAAAAGCTTCGATATGGTTATGCTTCACTGATTCTATACAGATCTTTCTATCATGTTCTGATTCTAGTGCTAGCTTCATTGTTCCATGGCTTCAGCCAATCAATTTCCCTAATACCATCCCTCCCACATATCTTCACTCAGGGAGTCTCTCATAATCATAACATGACTTGAATAGCACACTTCCTCCCCATTAACCTCGATATTTTACTTTCCAGATATATTTCGCTATGCCAGAAATATGACTTACAATGAATTTATCAGTGTGTTATCAGTGTGTTAAATCAGTTCAGGCTAGAACCATCAAGGTTGGAAACTGGATGGTGGAGACTCCATAGAAACTAACCAACCCAAGTTACAACCTTGTTATGTAATGTACTAAATCTTATTTTAAAAAATATATTGGCTGTTAACTCTCCAAGTTCACAAAATGTGCATACAAATTATGAATCTGTAACTGATCGCATTAATATGCTATTTTATCATTAATTTTCTTCCTATGAGCTGGTCCTTTAATAGTGGAATATGGGAGCCAATGTTTGTGAATTTTACAAGACAGCGGAATTAACAAGCAAGTAAACTCATCAACAAAACACCTAGTTTTGAAGAATATTAAAAAAAAATGAAACAAAGAAAAGCTGCAGCATGTCTAGGAATTTTATAAGCGAGCATTCTAGTATCATGATGACCAATCAACATAAGCAATTCAACATTATACCTTCACACAGGCAATAAAGGAACCGGACTGACGACGGCAATCTTCTTTGGTCAAGTGAGTACAATATTCCTTCAATTGGGAACCACCCTTTGTCTTAAACTGAGAAAGCAGGAAAAGAATTTCAATTGCATCCGTAAATAATAAAAAATAAGTAAGTTTTCATATTAAAAATATTAAATCTTAAAATTTAGGGTAAACGATAAATTAATCTCTCCTAGAGAACATACAAGATGTTGAAGGCACTTGAAGTAAATCTCTTGATTAGTTAACTTAAAGTGTGAGGGCAGAAATTATCCATATGTTGAAAACTCTTCCACTTTTCTTTTACGGAAACTAAACAAGATAAAAACAACTTCTAAGAAGGTTCATCCTTTTCTTGGGGGCTCTAATACCGAGTGATGCCAAGAATTCAATATTATATTCTTCAAATATACAAAAAGAGTTCCCGCTCTTATCAATAATCCAAGAACTTATCATGCTATTGTTAAATGCCATGAAACAAAATAGAAATTTTAGCAAACGAAAAGTGATGTCTAGGCATTCAATGAGGATAACTACTTATCAATGTTCCAACTATGACAATATTACTCCACATGAATATAAGCAAATACATCAGCATCAAACAAGAAACCATTATGCTGAAGAAAAGTCCCCAAATAATGTAAAGTTTTCTCAAAGACTCTACCATAGAAGTTTAAACTAGCTTGATGTATGTATAAAAAAAGTGAATGGATGCTTTTTTCCCTAAGGTTGTCAATGTCATCATAGGGAAACGATCCTGATTTTACCCCAAGTTTGAAATATCGCTTTGCTCCAACAGAAGAAAAAGAGTCATCAGCAAATAGGCTTATAGCAGAAGAGGACGGCAAATAGGCAGCCAAACAATAATCATTTTCAGAGTAGGAGCTCGTTCATCAAACTGCAGGGTGAGCTTATTTTTATATTGCATATAAATTTTTTAATTTAAATAAATGAACTGTGGAAGATTTTAAAATTTAATGTGAAATCAAGAAAACGGATGTATTTTTTAAGTGGGGGATTTACATACATACCACTTTATATCATGTTATTTATATATCTAACACTAAAACTTTAATATTTCATGCCTATCACCCATAGAACAAAAATAATTAATAAAGCATGAGGATGTAAAAATTATAATTAATCATTGTTGCAAAAATCAAAGAATTGGTGAATCTTAAATATTTTAAAAGATCATAATCCTACAAACATGCAAACAAAGGCATTTCCTACAAGAAAATTCACTATTATTTGGGGATGTCAAATGTATTAAGTTTGGTATTAATCAAGGTGGAGAATGTTAGCAAGTTTTTATCTAACTATCAGTGTTTGCTTCTTGTTGTTTTTGTGACTAACCTAACATAGTTCAGTTTTTGGCAGCTAAAAATTTGTTATTTAGTTTATTGGTTTCACATTGTATAGCTTTTATGTGGCCATGGGCATGGATTCTATAAATAACATAGAATGGAATGTTAGTAGAGACAGCATTCTGAATTCAATTCCAATAGTTCTCTCTCTAATTGACTTCCACTTTTCTTGCTCGTGATTAATTCAGGAATAAAATACAAACAGTCCTTCGACCCATTTACAACACAATACTACTTCTACCACTAGAAATCTCCATGTATTCAAGATTGTTACGAGCATCTCTAACCACAATTGTTGTTGTAGATCCATAGGTATTATGTTGTTAATTTGATCAACAACAATGTCCAAAATAATAGGGAAATTGAAGATTTCATTTCTCAAACTTTACATCTAAAGGATTTGTTCTTGAACACTTGTACAGTTGGACGACCCGACAAAAGGAAGAAGATTGACAGTGTGTTGATTGAAGATCCAAAACTTTGAAAATAACAGGTTCATTTTGAGTGGAGAAACCCTTATTTTAGGGTTTTTTTTAATAAAAAGTGATGTAATGTATTCTACTATTTTCTATTCACTCCTTATTGTTCTTGCAATTTGATAACATAGGTGTAAGTGTCTGAATACAACCATCCCTGAAAAGAATATGTGATAGGAACTAAACAAAAAAAAGTAATAGATACCCTAAATAAACTAATGGCATAAATTTTTAAAAAAAAAGTTCAAGAATATTTCAATTTTATGAATGCTCAATGTGCCAACAAGTTGTCAACATCTCTATCATCATACCAGTCAGATCAAACAATAAAAGCTAATCAATAGCCTATTTGCAGAAATCCTCAATCATCCTCGATAGGCTGCATAATCAATAGCCATAGTCTAAATTTAATGCAGAACACAGAATAACAATTGCTCTTAACAGTTCAAAATAAATTTAATTTGAGGCCTCTTGTATACAAGCACTTAACTAAAACTTTAATCATTTAAATACCTCTCTTTAACATGATTCCTATAGCAACTGATAAATCCGTAAACAATATCTCCATACAACATGCTCAATACATATCTTTTTTACTCATGAACAATATTTTCTTACATAACTTTAAAGGTTTTGACATGTAATTATTAAAATCATATTTTAATGGAATTAACAGTCCTGGAATTATTACAAACATGGATAAATTTCATGTACATAAAAAGTAAACATTTGTAACTAGAGGGCAACTTTCCAATTCAAAAAATATAAGCCTTAAGCGTTTGATAATTTGTTACCAATGGAATAAAAAGCACTCCCCAAACATCTCAACTATCATCATCCACCCCAACAGCAAATGCAAACAAAATTGGATGGTAATTCTAGTGTAGCAACACATATCAACTTCAGAAGGGGCATTAAGTTCTAGAAGGGCCATAATAATCATTTTAAGGAAATCGAAAAGAAACGCGGATTCAGCGTTACATAAACTAGTCATATAACCTGGAAACTTTTATCTAAGTGCCTAAGCTAGTCTCTGAAATCAGCAACTCAACTTCTACAACCAACAAAAATATAATAATCATGTTATTTTCCACTCCCAAGTTCGTTGACTTTCTATGAATTAGAAAGAAAAGAAATAAAACCAGTTAGAGGTTATTTGGTTTGATGTTATCTATATATTTAGATAAAATGAGGGGTCTGCTTGGTTCAATCTTATTTAGAAAATATTATTTTCTACAAAACAATGTGATCTTTCAAATGTAGTATGTTTGGTTTGATGTCATTTCACTTAAAAAAATGAAATATTATTTAGGATAACTCGGTGATTTTTTTCTTTTTTCTTAAACCATTAAGACTGAGGTAAACAGGATAGCATCCAATTTCTTCATTATTTAGATTCCTTTAACCTTAACTACTAATATTCTTCAGAGTACCTCAATGTAAGAGATATAATCAAACCAAACATCATTTATCAAAATTTAAATAGCAATACATTAAAAAATATATATATATTATGCCAAACATTGAGATTGTATGGTTTGATATGTTCAAATTTGAGATAATCAAGATAACGTTAATACCCAAGATAAAGGCAATAAAATGGCAGCAAAATTGGGTGTTATTTAGATTACCTCTATCTTGATGCTAAAATTTAAAGGGCAAGCAAGGTAAAAATCATCATTGATTGGGCAAATTAATATTGCGTTCTTTAGGAGAGATATCATCAGATCAAATACATTGCATTTAATAGATAACATTATAATATAAATAACAAAGTTAACTATATAACAATATTAACTATATAATATAACAGCAAACCAAACAGCCCGTTAATAACTAAATCAATGAGAAGTAGCGTCTCCAAACCTTTGCAGCAACCGCAGTTTCCTTAGCAGTTGGCCGGTGAATAAGATCTAAAAGCTCCTCTCCAGTTTTGGACTTTTGCAACTCCCTGAAGGTCTTCTTATTGAGCAATGCCTCAATGTCCTTCCTGTCATCCTCCTCTGTTCTAGGCTTTGCCGGTGGGGGATTTGGTCCACCCATTCCAGCACCAGGTCCAATTAGAGGACGGTGAAGAGGTGGCACACCGATAACTCTCGGAATTCCCATCAAACCAATCATCCTAGGGCCTCCCCTTGGGCCAATGATTGACCCAGGCGCACCAGCCCCTGAATACATTGGTGACATGCCAGATAAATGGGAATCAGGGTGACCCATCCACAGATCATGGGGTGGCCTAGGCATCATAGAGGTACCTCGTTCAGCTGCAGGCAATACTGCTGCCTGAATCTGACTATTTACATCACCAGAACCGAAATCAAGTGGCTGTAACTGCTGCTGTTGAGAACTCTCCGGTAGTTCCTTAAGCAGCTTGCTCCTGTCAATGCCCCAGACCATTAACATCGACTTCCCATTAACCGTGAAGTCCTCCAGCTGCACACCGCCGCTGTCCTCAGCAATTCGACGGAGAGCTGTCTCAACCGCAGATATCGCGCCAAATTCACCGCCAAGCTCAACCATGGCAGCCTTCTCAGCTGATGTGGCCGAAGACTGATCGCTCTCCAGCCGACGAAGCAGTGCGGCCGAATCAATTTCCGTGAAGGGAACTAACTCAAGCAGGCACACAGCTACCATAGTGCGAACGACCGAAAGGCGATCTCCCGCGATTCCGCCGCTGCTTCCTTCGTCCTGCTCAGCATAGAAACGGTCGCGGGAAGAACGTACCGAGGTGGGAGAGGTCTTCCGGCGGGTACGGGGCAAGGGCTTAGAGTCTGGGAGAAGTCGGCGACGGGACTCGGAAGGGGTTTTAGCGCTAGGATTCGAGACGGAAGCGCCGCTGCGGTTAGGGTTAGGGTTTGGTTTAGGAAAAGGGGAGAAGGATCGGCCGGTGAAGGCAGAGATGACGCGAAGGGAAATGTCGAGGGAAGATGCGATGTCAGGTACGAGTGTTTGGATAGCAGAGAGCAGGTCCTGCTGCACGACGCGGCGGGCGTCAATGGCGTCCACCAGTTGAAGGCGCATCTCCTTCAGTACGGCGACGTCATCTACGTCGCCGCCGGTCGCCTCGGTCTGAGAGTCCATCACTCGTTCCTCTGCCTAGAAACCGGTGTCAAAGGCGCTAATCTTGATTTTTTTTTTTGGGGGAAATTTTTGGGCAAAGCCCTTCATATTAAAAAGAGGTTACAAGTAAAATAAAAGACAAAAACTATAACTCCCAAAACCCTAAAACAAAATTTGGGAGTTCTAAAGGAAGCAAAAACAATACAGAGAACTTAAATAGAAGATTAAAGGACTCAGATCGTTCTGGCTATTGATTGTCGAGAGGGTCGGCCAGAGCGCAAAAACCCCTGGTTGCCAAGAAATGGCCGTCCAAAGGGCAGCTGTAGAAACAGCATTCATCATAGTCCTTTGCAAAACCCAGCAACCTGCAAGCGAGATAAACTGAATAGGCTCCACACAAGGGACATAAAGCATCAGGAAAAAAGGATCCAGCGGAGGGAAATGATCCTGAATATCAACAGCAAAAGCTTCCAGAAAATTATTGGTGATTCCAGCCATGGGTTTTGAGTAAGATAGCTTTTTTGACTTTAGCAATGACAGTCAATTGGCTGTCAATAATCCCTCCAAACAACCTATCGTTTCTTGCTCTCCAAAGGTGATAAATAGCCGCAGAAGCAGTGAGCAGGTAAAAATTTCTCTCACGTTTATTGAAATTTTGCTAAAAAATGCTATCGTAGACTTGAAAAAGATTTGGACTCATCAAAAGAGATCCCAGCCAAGGCAGCAAACCTTTAATAACATTAAAGGTGAAGCTGCAGTCATAGAATAAATGGGATAGAGTTTCCGGAGCCGAGTGACAGAAGCAGCAAGTATATTGTCTTTGAATTCCCCTTTTAGCTAAAGCATCCGATGTTTTGAGTCCCCCTTTAAAAGCAAGCCAGGCATATGCAGAAAAACGAAGGGATGCTTTCTTGTGCCAAACAAAATTGTTCCAATTCACCACCTCCAGGTGACTAAAATAGTGCTTACGGAAATCAGCAAAATTGGGATTTTGTTTACTAAGCCAAAGATGGCTATCATCATTGCCATCAATAGGAACAGTATTGATAAGAGTAGAAATTTGGTTATCAAAAAAGCTCGGAACAGCCCAGTTTCCCCCCCAGATAATGTCCTTCACCCTCCAGCCAATGTAAGGCTTAAACCCAGGTAACAAGTTACCGTGGGTCAAGTATTCAGCAATTGAGACACCCCACACTAAGGGTCCCAAAAAAGAGAAAGACAGCTAGAAGGGGTAATAGAAAAGGATATACAGTTTCTAATACCTTCAGCTATCTTACAAAGATTTTTCCAAAAATGGGTGCAGTTCACTGCCAAGCTGTTCCAAAGAGAATAATATTTAGCCCGTCACCATTCAAAAAGAAGATTGTTGCTGTTTAAGAATCGCCAAATAACAGAACAGCCATAGTCTTGATATAGGGAATCCAGAGAAGGGATTCCCAAACCACCATTTTGCTTAGGAATACAAGTATGTTTCCAAGAAACTATGTGAAGCTTTTTCTTATTGATATCTCCAAAAAAGGTAAATCTAGCACACATCCTGTTTAATTGCTTACAGCAATTCTTTGGTATAATAGACCCTCTTATCCAGTAAGCCAAATTGTTACATATAGTAAATTTGATATATTGTATCCTTCCAGCAAATGACAGAGTTTTTGCTTTCCAACCGTCTAAAAGAGTAGCAACTTTTTGAATCAGAGGCTGGAAATGAGCAGACTTGAGTTTTTTATAGAAAATCGGAAGGCCCAAATAAGAAATTGGGTTAAAGGTTTGCTGGATATTGAGGATAGCACAAATAGTGTTTGCTGTATTGGAGTCCTTGGAGATGAGAATTGTGCTTTTAATGGGATTTGTATGGAGGCCAGAAACATCACCAAAGTTGCTGAGAATAGTTTTAAGGGCTTGAGCGTTCTTAATGGAAGCCAAACCAAATACCATAAGGTCATCAGCAAACAGTAAATGTGAGATGGTGCAGTTGCCAATCGAAATACCATTGAAATCATCATGAGTAGTGGCTAAGTCAAAGGAGGAAGATAGGCCGTCCATAATAATACTGAAGAGATAAGGAGATAACGGACAGCCTTGTCTGATATCAGATGTGGAGTTAAAATATCCTTCCAGCATGCCATTAATACAAACAGAAAAGTGCACATCAGTAGTGCAGGCTTTTATCCACTATATGAACATGTCTGGGAATCCTTTTGCCTCAAGTCTTTGATAGAGAAAGTCTCTTGACACCAAGTCAAAGGCTTTGGTGATGTCAAATTTGGCACAAAAGTACTTCTGCTTTGTTTTCAGGTTGAAATTGCTCAGAATGTCAGAAGCTAAAAGGATATTGTTAGAGATGATCCTTTTTTGAATAAAACCTCCTTGGCTAGGATGAATAATGAAAGGCATCACATTCTTCATTCTATTAGCAATAATTTTAGCTATGATTTTGTAAGTGACATTGCAAAGAGCAATAGGTCTATAGTCTTTGACATTACAAGCATGAGGTTGCAAATAAGAGCTAAAGCAGTGGCTTTAATTTGATTGGGCATGTAACCAGTGTTGAAGAAGGAAATCACAGCTTTGCAAAGTTGAGTTTTGATGGTATTCCATGTAGCTTTATAGAATTTAAAGGTGAAACCATCTGGGCCTGGAGCAGCATTGGGCTTAGCCGAGAAAACAATGTGTTTAATTTCCTCAATAGAAATCAGAGCTATAAGATTGGAGAGGAGGTGTGTAGGTATCCGATTGCCCACAGGGATTTTATGAGAGTTGAGGATGTGAGGGGGAGGGCCCGGAGTGTTAAAGAGATTTCTGAAGTGGTCAACAAAGACATTGGCAATATCCTTGTGGCTAGTGAAAATACCCAGGTCATTGGAGATCACTTTGATACGATTGTGATTTTGCGTAATATTGATCTTAGAGTAGAGGAACTTAAGATCATCCTCTCCATTCGAAATCCACTTAACCTTAGCTCTTTGCAGCATCCAACTAGTGAGGGTATCTTGGTAATAAGCAAGTTTAGCATTGACATCCTTCAGCGAGCAGTTAAGTGCAGGATCTAACGGATTATGCTGGAGCAAAGTGATCATAGTGTGTTGCTGATCTTTGAGAGCATCAATTTGGGATTGAATGTTATTGGAATTGAACCAGGATTTTTGTTTCAGAGCATTCTTGTGGGACTTAAGTTTGTAGCTGAGGGAACTTAAAGGGCTGCTCTCATTAGGAAGAGAAAAGACCTCTAATAAAATGTTCTAGAAATCAGGATTCTTCAAGCAGTAATTTTTGAACATGAAGCGATGCCCTTTGTTGACGGAAGGAGAGTTCACCAAGATCAAGGGGGAATGGTCTGAGCAATCAGGGTCTTCTACAATGTAGTAAGAGTTAGGAAAAGAGTTCAGCCAGTTATCATTAATAAGCACACGGTCCAACTTAATGTGAATTGGGTTGTGGGTTTGTTGGTTGTGCCAGGTAAAGAAATGGCCCACATAAGAGAGGTCGTGCAAACCAGCATTAAAAACCATACTATTGAACTCTCCAAGCTTGTAGGAGAGAGGGGTGCCACCACTTTTTTTCATTCAGATTACGACAGCAATTGAAGTCTCCTACAATAGCCCAGGGGAGAGAAGTATTGCTTCCAATATCAAGGATGCTTTTCCAAAGATCTTGTCTTTCAGTTTGAGAGTTGCTTGCATAAACCGCAGTAATAGCACAAGAGATGTTGCCATTGACAGAGATGTGACCATGAATAAATTGATTTGACATTTTGAGTGGCACAAAATTAACAGTCTTCTCATTCCATTTAACCCAAATTCGTCCAGGACTAGAATACCCAAAATTGTCACAGGTGGCTTCATACATGAAGATTTTATGGTTGGAGAGGAACCAATGATCATTGTAATTAGGTTGAGTAATTTTAGCTTCTAAAATAAAGAAGAGGTCAATATGGTTAGCTTGGGCAAGTTTTTTGCAGCTAAAAACTTTGGTCAGGCTGTTAAACCCACGCAAATTCCACGCTGCAATATTGGGCAATGTCATTGGGATTTTGGATTGGGGGTAGAGGCCTTTTTGGCTTTGCCTCTAGTATGTTTTTGGTTTTGGCTAGGGGGTGGTTGGGCTTTAGATGAAGTAGAGCTAGAGGTGGAAGGTTCCATAGTAGAGGAAGGGATGTTAGGTTGATGTAAGCGAGGTGACGTCTGGGAAGGACTGTTGAGGTTGGGATTTGTAGTGTTAGTAGGGTCATTTTTAGGGGGAAAAGCAGCTTTGGCTTGTTGGAAAGAAGAAGCTAGAGTCTCCTAAGTGTTGTCATGGTCATTTAAGGCTTCAAATTTGTTTTTGGTAGTGATAGTAACAGGCTGTTTTATCTGGACTATAGAGTCGGTGATGTCCTGGACATCTCCAGACGGAGAGTTAAGGTTCGGGATTAAGGTTCCTGCATTAGGATTTTGGTTTTCATTGGAAGTAGGAAGTTGAGGATGTATGTCATGATTGGCCTGCGACTGAGTGATCTTTTGGATCAGTGGAGGTTTAGGGATGTAGAATTTTGGTGGCGGCGTGCGTTTAGGTCTTCTACTGGTACTTCTTCCCCTAGGTTTTTCAACATTTTGGGTTTTTAGGATTGGATCTTTTGGACATAAGGTCGGTGGGTGCATGATAGATCCACACTGTGAACATTTTTCAGGTTTCCAGTCATATTGGACTCTAAGGGGATACGAATTTCCTTCAACATAATAAAAATTTCCTCAGGAAGAAGAGAGGAACTAGTTATTTGTACGCATACTCTAGCAAATGTCAAACGAGTTTTTGCAGCAGTTAAAGCATCAACAGCAATGGGAATCCCTATGCAGCTAGCTAGTTTAGAGATACCTTCCGGCGTCCACAAAGATAGCGGCAAGTTCAGGATTTTGATCCATAAGGGGATAGCCGGAAATTCTTCCCTTTTAGGCACAAAATCAGGAGTCCACTTTTGAAGTATGAATGGCTTACCGAAGAAAAACCACGGACCACCCATCCATGCATACTCGTAGTCTTCTACGCAGAAAATTTGAGCA